AATAAATAGGGAAAGATACTTCTCCAAAGAAAAACATTTTGGTATAGAAATCAGAAATCTAGTTGTAGATGATCACCTTCATGTTGCTTCCAGAGCCTATTGGTGCTGAGTTTCCCCACGGCAGAGTGAGCTCCACGTAGGGGCCTGTTTCACATGCGTTCACAGGCAGGGATGTGGCTCTTCTGCTGGTTAATGGGAATGGTCCACACAGCTATGTCTTCAAACTGACAATAACTCCCTTTGCTTATCCCTAGCAATTCAAAACCTGCCTTTTCTAGTAAATCTATCCATTGCTTGATCAAGACTATTTTTAAAAAAGAAGAAAATGTATTCTTTTTAAAAAATACTGAGAGAGATTAAGATGGCATGCTTAAAAATCATCCAAGCAATTGAGCCTTCTGGAACTTTTTGTTTTGAAACATTTTTGCAACATGCATTTAGATGTAGAGCTTCAATAGTGTGAAACAAGCTCATGAAATTTAAAATCAGTACATGTGTCATAAACACTCGATAAAGTGAGTGTGTGGAGCGTTGTGTTGGGCATTTCCCCAAATTCTCTTTTACCCAATGCCTTCTCTTAGCGTCAGTGACATGACTGCCATCCTGTGATACTGCACTCTTCGAGGGCAGGTCATGGATTTCCACCTTTGTGTCCTCCATAGCACAAACACTCTGCTTTTCAAACAAGAGCACTAAGTGGGTATTTGTCAAAATCAATGTTATCAACAATTTTGCTTTTCGTGAGGCAATTCTGCTTCTACCCACCCCTGTAAGCTGGGCTGTCACAGAACACAGACACCCCAGGAGGACTTCTCACGTGGGTCCACCTTCTTCAGGGCACTGCATGTACTGCACTTCCCTGGATTCCTTCTCCCCATCAAGCCACATCTGTCCTGTATCCTGAGCCATCCAATGTGCTTTCTGGGCCGGCCCCGTGGCTTAGCGGTTAAGTGTGCGGCTCCGCTGCTGGCGGCCCGGGTTCGGATCCCGGGCGCGCACCGACGCACCGCTTCTCCGACCATGCTGAGGCCGC